TTCTGTTTCAGGTTTTTCATGTCGGGGCCTTAATAACCGACTATATGGTACCGGTTTTGTCATTGTTGAAGGCCGTATTGTTGTTTTTATTTGCTTACATCCACTTCATTTGAGCTTTGATTAATAGTTGTTTCATTAACAACTAATATTGTCCGTGTAAAATATTTATAGATTGTGTCTTGCTTATTTTACTATTTATTCTCTGTCCTATATAGTTTCCAAGTTGAAAGGCAAAACGAAAACAATGATGAAAATCGTTCCTTAAAGAGGGGCGAAAGATACCAGAGGGACAATCAAGCTCATAGATCGAAAATAAACTGACAAAGCCATGGCTTAAAAAAAGAATAAGACAAACAGACAAATAATAGTACAGAGGAAACAACATAGAAAACTAAAGACTGAGCAACACCAACCCCAACAAAAACTGGGGGTGATCTCAAGTGCTCTGGAAGGGTAAGCAGATCCTGCTCCATATGTGGCACCCGTCGTGTTGCTCATGTTATTACAAATTCGGTAAATAGTCTTATTCGATAGGTCACATTCGTGAAAAGGGAAGGGGATTGTAGTTCGAACATAAGGAACATATCCTATATCATCTGTGAAACGGTTATTCCATAACGGTCAACTAAACTCGTGATGGCGTCCGTAAAATCTACAAAGGGATGATTTTAACTTCACCATTTGGACCTCTGGGTTTAATAGCTTTCTTGTGAGCAGCAACCCTCTATCAAGGAAATCATGATAGGAAATACAAGCCCGGGAATATCGTATCAATTGGGAGAAAGTTTGGCCTAAAGGGGCGAAAGATATCAAAGGGGAATGATAACTAATTCATATTCTATGTGAATTGTGTTCGTAAGATCATTGAAATGTATTTAAATAACGAACCTTGTAAAGATTACTTAGATAATGTATTTGAAAACATATGCATGATATACTTAGAACGATGAAGTTTTAATATTTTCTTTAACCAATAATGATTTGCAGCATGTGCAGAAAAAATACTTATTTAATTGAAATTAGTTGCGATATAAGGAGACACAAATTTATAAATGTTTTGTATAAATGACAGCGTAACATTTTCATAACATTGAATACCAATAACAATGAATACATAGCTTGATTGCTGCATACTCCAGAAGAAATGCATATCCCGAAGGAAGCACATAAGGACAAAAATTGAATGAAATCCATGATGCAGTCAAAGTATTGTTCAATATAAACATTACAATATTAGTGTACAGATGACGTGGATAATTTTTGATGAATATAATTTTAAAAACCGGAAATTATATAGGATGAGGTCCTCAGTATAGCAGATAAGTCGATACAAAAATGATACTTAAAGTAATCTGAATTATTAATTTCTTTTTTCTGTCTTTTCCATATACGTTGTAATCTTTTTGTATTTTCAATTTACTAAAATCAATCGTAAAAACATCCACTAACATAACGATGTCTGGACACTATAAATGTATCTGATTGCAATGATGTCAATACAACATTTCATTACTTTTTCCTTTATCACAACAACATGTATGCGTAGGAGATTTATTGAAAAACAAAGTCTACTACTTTGTAGATACTCCTCCTTACCAGACTCGAAAAAGGGGTCATATAACTTGGGGATACGAGAATGAAGAAGAATTTGTGATATACAAACAGACAGGACTTCAGATATTAAACTGAGAAAAGGCCGACAGACATACATGCACCATCAGTTTGATTTTATTTTCTTACTTTTTGGTCTTAAGTTTTTGTCCTTTGTGTGATTCTTTATTTATGCTGAATTTACAGATGTTTTCATTCTCTGTTTGTTTTTTTTCTAAATACATGTGAATGCTGGAGTTAGAAGTATGTAGTAAGTGACACACATATAGAGTTTGTCTTCATGAAGAACGACCTAGCAATATGTCATCATTTAAGTCATTATTGTTTTTCATTTTGCAATTCATTAAAAACTTCCTCAATTGAAAATATACGATATGAATACTTTTGTTATATTTCAAACATAATCAATTTACGATAAAAGCGATCGATTATTGTTGTTAGTCAAGATCAATAGGAAATCCGATTCCCATTCATTGTTACGAGTATTGTTTTATAAATTTAAAAACTATTATGGTTTTACAGATACATACTTTGCAATATTGGAAATATGATATACCCTTTGAAAACAATTTCTAACGCAAACGTTATCCCGCTGAACCTTTTTTGTAGTTCCTTTGAAAATAAAGGCAGATGCTCATTGTTAGATAAGAACCTTACAAGACAATAACAATGAAGTCAAATACAGTCGAAAAAACGCATGAAATATGAAAATGTCCAGTTCTAATTCATACCGAGTCTACAAACTGAATCAAAAGTAGATATCAAAGATCTGCATTCAACAAATAATTCTCAAATAGTACAAAAAAAAACAAAGTTAAAACACGGGAAAAGCACTGATGATTATCCTGGCATATAAATATTTGCAGGGTTTAAATATTTTTTTTATAATCTTTATTCTCTAGATCGGTGCGCTAAAAAATGAAAAAAATGTGCATTGACAATTATAAAATATTGAGTAAAAAAAAAGATGTTGTGACATCAAGTACATGTATATTGAAAGTAAATCAGTTGCTAAATGTTTTACACTAAGCTGTATGTTACGTGTATGTCAAAACATTTTTTTGTGAAAATTTCAAATTTTCCCAATGTAAAAAAGACAATTTCATTCGTGTCCTTATATTAATAATTGCGTTTGTTAATGCTTGTTTTTACTTTTTTTCCTTTGTGTTTTTACTGACACTTGTGGCAATATCAGGTTTTCCTAAATATAGGCAACAGTAGAATACTGCTGTTCAATAGTGATTAACCGATTAAGCGAAAACAAATCCGGGTCACAAACCAAAACCGAGGGAAACAAATCAACTATTGGAGAAAAATAAAAGAACAACAGAAACACTGAACTACTACAAAATCTAATGTCAACGTAGATAGAAACGGAAAATGTGATAACAACTGTTGTATGCTTTATTACAAATTTTGTAGAGTCATATGAAGAAAAATGGTGCGTTGAACCTGTTTTAATGCCTAGAGAAACCTCTCGCTAATATGGCAATATTGAAAATACGTGTACGATATATATGTCATTATCTTTACACAGCGCAATGTTCATTGAGGACACAATGGCGCTTAAGAAAACTAAATATTCTTTAACGTGTACCAATACACGTAGACTTACTTGTTAATGATTTAAATAGATTCCCCGTCGATTAATATCAAGATAAATGTCGATTCTGATGTCCGGGGTCGTTAGACAAATTTAAATGTATAAACCATTACCCCGTATTGTATTGGATCTGGAACAATTTAAAACTATCGAAGAGCGACATATCATAATCAGATTTCGATATGTATTACAGACGTTTGTTTGAATGCATTTTTACCTAGTAGTACTTGTTTTCATTTTCATATATTTGCACGTACCAGAATTCAATTGAGATTGACTGCACGCATGATACGTCATAACTAAAATTACTGCATTAAACTCGTATACAAGTTTCACCTATTGTTAGAGATATGGAATATAATATCAACTGAGCGATGTGGTACTGAAATACTGCAACATGAATACTTGTTTTTAGGATATTTGAACAAAATGTAGCAGCCTGTTTTATAGATGGAATCTGTTGTGTTTATCAAATTGTGTTATCTTTTATTTAGGTTCACTGTGATAACCGTATTAGCAAAACTGTCGACAAACAGTTCTCAGTGAAAGTATTTTATCTTTTAAAACAATATAACTTTTAAAACGCTTAACGCTAAGCGATATCCGGCCGGCTGAATTTAATCTAACGAGTGTATACATGATTGTGCTACTACTATTATTTTTAAAAATTTAAATCCACTATTTGCTTTAAAAATACTGTTTTTTATGTGTGCATTATATTTATCACGCAAAGAATTCCACTTTCTTGTTAATGTTTAAATCTCTTCTAAATTGACAAAGTTTAAACAGTTAAATATTATTGTTATAATTCCTGTTAAGCCATTTTGATGGCTGAAACAAAATTCATATTGTATGATCAGGTGCAAATTGTTAGTTGTATTATAAACTACAAATAAACCAGTAAAAGAATAAACGTCTATAATAATTGATAGAAAAACGATTTATTCAGAATGATGATAAGGGCATGATATATGATTGCCAGAGAGTTATTCAGCTTTGCACAACAATGACGAAAACAACTAGAATGATAGTTCGACCATAATATTGAGTAAAACCAATACCGTGAGTTACGTTTAACAATCGCCATAGTAGGAAAACAAGGAATTTAAACCAGACAAGTTACGATCGGATTTAAGTAAATAAGATATGGTTAATAAAGATGTTCGTTCATTTAAATGTGAACGAATTCAAATAGATTAATTTTAGTAAAATAAAATGTAGCATTGCACCGTCAGATCTACATGTACAACATTCGTCGTTGAATAATACAATTGACAGTTCTATATTTATTTTGCTAACTATGACGTTTAATCAATAGTAAAAAAAATACCTGTATTAATGATCTAGTTTTTAAACATGAACAACTAGTTTTGTTTTAATTTGATAAAAAATATTGACACAACAAAGACTTTTTGCTCAACCGAAATAATTGTCAACACGATTTAATAACATCATCTTCGTATATTTACATCTTATATAAGTACTGTTGCATAAATCTCAATATCTCTATAACTATTTCATTATCTGTACTTTACATATGTCACCTATCCATAACGATCCGGTACGAATAAAACACATTCATAAAAGATTTTTTGCAGATCCGTTCCTGTCTATATCTATTGAAAAAACACTCAGGTAAGGTGTTTAAATTTCTAATTTGTAAATAAAGGAATTAGATAGTTTATCAATATCGAGTATTTATTGTTTGAAATGCAGATTCTTATCGTTAAAATTACAGTTACGTGTACAATATTGATATTTTTCATAAGTTAGCCATATGGTACTTGTGAAAGTAGATTACTGGAAGTTATAAATAAGCCTAAAATCCACGGGTGAATACGGAAGTAGCCATTTGACAACATGGCAGCTTGGGGAGCTTCACAGGAAGACGTAGAACATAATGTTCATGACGATACTGCAAGTAGTGAAAAAAGCACTGTGGACACTTCTTCGACGGATACACATACAATACTAGGTAGGAATCGGTCGTTGAGGAACGTAGTTAAAGAACTACAGAGAACATTTCATATGTATAAAGACACAATGGAAGAATTGATAGTAAAGCCTGTGATGATTCTTGAGGAGCAAACTCACAATGATATCTCTGCAGCCAAAGGTCAACTGAAAGAGTCTGAAAAATTTTTAACACAAGCTGTTATATTACTGAAAGATGGTGTTGAAACAATGAAGGAAGCAATGAATAAACACAGCCGTAAAATCGATGAATTGTGTAACTATGAAGAATGTTCGAGCGAATTTTCATGTGACATTCTTCCTACAGACTTCCAAATACCGACAGAAGGTAAATACTATAAATATGTCATTGTCAATTCTGTGTTTTAATGTGTATAGTGTTCCCGCTTTTACCTAAAATAGCACCTCTAAAATCTGTGTTTATAACAACTGTATTGCTTGATTGGCTAAATACAGCGTGACAACAAGAACCAATTTACAGCAAACACGGAAACATTCATGGAAAACAAGTCTCAATAATACAAGCACCTACTGCTACTTTAATTATTCATCCCTTATTTTATTGATTTTGTATTTACATTGTATCATAGATCTAATTTCTTCGTTCAGTGTATGTCCACTTGTGTTAATATGTCTTTTGATTGAGTTAAGCCATTTCAATTGATATTTTATAGTGTGTCTTTTTTTGTTATGATGTTACACTATTGTTTCAGATAAGGGTGCAAATTTGGTACCATTAAAACGTTAATACCCCCTGCAATTGTTTGCACCTGTCCTAAGTCAGGAATCTGATGTTCAGCAGTTGTCGTTTGTTGTTGTGGTTTTATAAGTGTTTCTCGTTTCTTGTTTTTTATATAGATTAGACCGTTGGTTTTCCAGTTTGAATAGTTTTATACTAGTATTTTTTTGAGGCCCTTTATAGCTTGCTGTTCTGTGTAAGCCAATGCTCCGTGTTGAAGACCGTACTTTGCCCTTTAATGATTTACTTTTATGAATTGTGACTTGGATGGAGTGCTGTCTCATTGGCACTCATACCACATCTTCTTATATCTATAAGTAAAAATATAAGTATAGTAAGATGATATTAAATTACACAACACAGGGGTTATAAGCAAGTGTTCCTTAAGATGACCATATTATTCACTGTCACAGGTTGATATTAATGCTATATATTTTCAAAATTTAAAGATACAATTTTGCTTTGAATATGAACTTTGTATAGGAAAATTGAATAACACAGGATGTTGAAATAATGTTTTGGTGTATTGACTAATTCACTTTTCATGTATAAAATAAGGGTAAACTTGGTCAATCATATTTTTATATATGTTGTATGTATATTATGTATATATATTATGTATATATCATAGAAGTCGGTAAAAGGGACCAACACTCAAATTTGATATGTACTCGATCGACTCGAACAAGCGATACTGCGCAGATAAGAAAAAAAATATAATTATGAATTATGATTTGGGCAACGATACTACTATAAGATAGTAATATACGAAGATTATGTTGTAAAATCGAATTAACAAATATTTCGACTGAACAAATAGCCTTCGTCGATATTTTTTACAATATATATACATATATATATAAACGCCTAGAAAGTGTACAAAACAACACCAATATTAAAAGAAAGGAAACTTTAAATGTTATTATCTGTAATAAACAGATATCCTTCATTGGTATGTTTATGATGTAAAATGAATCTTATCAATCTATTCTGATTCAACTATAACAATCTTCAAATTTATACTATTAAAACCGTACACAACAACTCTTGTTCAATTCTAAAACTTCAAAAATGACGTAGGTTAGATATTCAGAACAGAGACTACATAGATATGTTTCTAACTACAATAGTAATGTACGGTATAAACTGGTACATTTCACAGATGACGAAAGTTAAGATATTCAAGCAAAGACTGCAGAGAAATACTTTCCCAATGTACAGAACTGACCGATTTGAGCTTGTCTAGTACTCAAATTTCAAATTTGACGACGGTAAAGTGATTACAACATGTACAAAATAGGCTATTTTTTATACATCCTAAATAAATACCAATTTGATTATGATTTTTTTTTAATTGAAAAGGGCTTAGTAATTGAATGTGTTTGCGTACTTTAGTTAAACAGGTATAATTCTAGAATTGTAGAGTTGACATAGGTAAATGAAAAGCAACAGAGACTGCGTACTAATATTAAATATAACCCAAATGAAAAGCACTGCGTCAATTCGAACAACTACTTTTCATTGATCCCATTGGGATAGTTAATGATGTTTTTCGATTTTTTTCCAATTTTCACGGAAAGGGTATGATAACTTGTCAAATTTGGGATGGTAAGTCAGCACAAACAGCACCTTTTTGTTGACTTTTTTGTCTTTATATTGTAAACGTTCATCTCGGCATATGTTGTTAGCAAGAGAGAAACCTTTATCAATGTCTTTTCTTCTGTAGTCTTAATTGTTATGGAACCGCAAAGTTCTTGTAGGTGCTTTTTTGCAGTATCATTGGTGTAGCAAATCCGTTTTATTCGTATGGCCTGGTTATAGGGAATGCTCTTGATGCAATGTTTAGGATGTGATGTCCTTTGTTGCTACGGCTTGTTAAGATAGCACTCCGTTCAAAAAATTAATAATTAGTAAAAAAAGGTAACATGGTAAGATGTACGCGTATGACGGCTGATCGAATGAAACGCCTCCTGAGTGTTCTACAAAATGAAGAAAGTGAATCTGACAGAGATGTAGTAAGTGAACAAAATCAAAACAAAGTAAAAAGATATCTTTTTCTGAAGTAGTAACTGGTAAAACTCAACACCATCAAACTGAGACACCTCAAAGCAATGTAAATGATCCCGGAAACTTCGTTAAACCTTTTTTTCTTAAGGACGAAGATGTACGTTGTTCGGTGAAACCCCAAAGATCTCTTGGATCACAAATGTAGAGATATACAATGCTATAGGTACCAAAGACCTTGCGGAATGTACAAAATGTATTCAACGGATAAGAGAAATGTGGCGCCTTTATATGGACAACGAGGAGGACATACTGTCTTTGTTAGGGACAGGGCTTTACCTGCCTGGCGGGCAGGTGCCCATGTACTTGCAAAATCCTCGAACTCCTGGAAGGCTGCAAGAGAATACCATTCGTATTAAGGTGAAAAATGTCCCTCTTTCGCTGACGATGGACAAATCACCAGAGCTCTAACTCTACAAGGGTGTGAGATTCAAAGCCTTTCCCGAGAATGTTTGAGAGTCAATGGCAAAGACTTTTGACAGAGTGATAATCAGAAAGGTACTAGACAAGACCATACCAAGAATTATGCAGATAGGTAAATACATGACTAGGGTTTTCCATGCTGGACAACCAGAGTTCAACAGAAACATTAATTGTGAAAACAATGTAAAAACTTGCCATAAACACTTGATATATGAATGCCCAAATGACTGGGTTTGTAAAACATGCAACAAAAGTGGGCACCAAATGATGAATTGCCCTACTGACTTCCAAAGTAAACATATGAATGAAAAGAACTCAGAGGTTAATGTCAATGAAAATGAAAGTGCAGATGTAAATCTACAGTCCATTGAAGCTCAGACAAAAGAACACATTTCTGAAAAATCTGACAAAACATCTAATACACCAATACTGAAACCATCACATCATAGCAACATATCCAGAAAATCTAGTGATACAAGAACAGGTTCAGCAAAGAATGTGCAAATACCGAATTCAGCAACACAGGTAATGGCAAATCACAACAATCAATTGATAAAACACAAAAAAATCCAAGAAGAACAACAGCAAGAAGTCATACTCAACCTCCTACTGAAAACATTGGACCTAAGAAATCAAAAACATAGAATATTTTATCACTATCTTGTCAAAATTACTGTTGTATCTGTATCATACTTCAAATATTGTATTTAGATAACTTATCAACAAAAAAAAAGACATTTGAAGACAAATTGTACTAAATATTTTCAAATATATTTTTATATTATCTAAAAAAAAAAACAAAAAAAAAAAAACAGCATATAAATGAAAAAAAAATCAAGCTGAAATATAGAGTTTAATCTAAGAAATAATGAAATATTTAAAAATATTGGAATGTTTTCAAAAAAGATATGGTAGATAAAGGTTAATATGGTGTTGAAAACGCTCTTAATATGTACTATGTACATATGTATTACTATACAAAGGTTTGTCGTTATCAAATGTCAATTGATGATATTAGAAACAAAGATATGGTGTATTATATATACGATTAAGCAGGTCAAAAGCTATATAAATTTTCAAAATCATGAACAATCAGATTTTGTATAAACATTTGTTTACGAACTATCATTGTTTAGAAAAAAAATTAATCAGCTGTTTTTATAAAACTTGGTTTTCCCTATGCTATATTAAGCAACTTCACACCACAGTGAAAATCTATCGGATACTAACAGTTATTCATTGACCGAAAACCATAGTTGATAGTATACACTGTTTTGTCGCTTTATAAATTTTAATCAAATTTATTTAGCTGTTAGTTCTGCACCAATATTATTATGGACATGGGTATGCATACCTATCTTTCTTTTATTTGCCATGTATTAATTACATTTGAAATGTTTATATCTAAAGTGAAAACAATGAACAACAATTATGGTTTTATAACACAAAGATCAACATGTGACGTTGAGACTATACACAGTTGCTATAAGATAGTGGATGAGTACTTAATCAAATTCTATTGTATACAGATGATTACATGTACATTGTCGATGACGTTATATATTAATTTTAAGCAATGTTGTGCTTATTTGCGATACTGGTTTTTCCCAGGGCTATTTTTAGAAAAATGTTATAGCGTATAAAATTGTGACACTACCTGTAAACAAACAAAAAAGGTAGATTACATATTGTCATTTTTAAAACCTGTAAACGTATGTATATGAGGCAGTCATTACTTACAGTGTACACGTATTTTTATAATGTTATTAGGAGTGAATGTGATTCAAATATGCATGTACATTATAAAGGAGATGCTTTTAGGAACTTACCGTTAGTTGATTACAAAAACAAATCGCTTGTTGTAAGTGATAACAAAGAAATTTATAAACAAACAAGTAAAAACAATATTGAACAGATATCCAAAATGACTTACCTTTTTAGAAATGTATTCTCCTTCAGAAAATCGTAAAAGTATTCCAAAAATCCATTTACGTATGAATTCTAAATTAGTTTTTAAATCCTTTCTACATTTAAACTTAACTATAGTCTGCCACATATACAAGTGCACTTTTCAATTGCGAAAATACTTAATTCATTTGTTT